TTTCTCTCTGCCCATTGATCCAACCTGTCCAGGTCAGCCTGAATCTGCTCCATGCCGTCCGGTGTACTAACTTTGTCCCATAACTTGGTATCATCAGAGAACTTGGAGAGGGTGCTCTCCACGCCCTCGTCCAAATTGCTGATGAAGATATTAAATAATATCGGTCCGAGGACCGAACCCTGCGGGACCTCACTGCCCACCTCCCTCCAGGCCGAGAAGGAACTATCCACCACCACACTCTGGGTGCTGTCCCTAAGCCAGTTGGCCACCCACCTGACCGTGTAGGCGTCCACTCCACAGTCCACTAGCTTCCCAATGAGGATAGGGTGCAAAACTGTGTCAAAGGCTTTCCTGAAGTCCAGGAAGATGACATCAGCCTCGGCTCCCACGTCCAGGTAGTGTGTGACCTGGTCATAGAAGGCTACAAGGTTTGTCAGGCAGAATTTACCTGTGACAAACCCGTGCTGGTTTCCCCTCAGCATCGTTTCCCCTGCTGGGCCTGCACAAATGTGTTCTTTGATTATTTTCTCTAGCATTTTTCCAGGAATAGAGGTAAGACTGACTGGTCTAAAGTTACCCAGCTCATCCCTTCTCCCTTTCTTGAAAATGGGCACCACATTAGCCCTTCTCCAGTCCTCAGGGACCTGGCCGGAGCACCGCGAGTGCTTGAACACCTGTGCCAGCGGCTCAGCTATGACACTGGCCAGTTCTTTCAGCAGCCGTGGATGGAGGTCATCCGGGCCTGCTGACTTGTACCCATCCAGCTCCTCCAGGAGCTCCTTAACTATTTCAGTCCACTTAGAGCAGTGAGCTGTAAGGTAAGCAGGAAGTTTATCAGGGAAAGTGAAGTGTGCTGTATAGATCTAGCCATAGAGTTAATATTACTTAGGAATCTTAGGTTTTTTAATGTGACTTGTATTTGATTAAATTTTTCATTCGTGACATGAACTACCTTGTCACTTTATCTCATTTCCCCAACTATTCTAAAGCCCAAGTCCTTCAAATGTTACACATATGTAGTCTCTTTGAAATGGGAGGCATTGCTTACGGAAAATTATTTGCATCCAAGGTTGCAAGTTCATGTCTTAAGAGTCTATGTTCACTATATTAGCTATAGCTATGATGTATATTGTAATGGCAACATGGCATATGCACTGATAGCTATTAATTTTATCTTTCATGTAACTGTTTACCTTGCTGTTTTGGAGCAAAATGTTTGTAACCTTGTCAGTCAAAATGCCTATTAATTGAGTTTTGCATGACAGAAGACTGCTGCATTTTCTCTGTGGTGATGATAAAAAAAATGTTATTTGTTATCTGAACATTTATTCAAATGTTAGAATATTTTCTAAAATTCATATTAAATTAATATTATGCTATTTAAGCACTTGAAAAATAAATAGTATAACATAAATCTTAGGAAAAGAGAATACTTTTTGTAAGTTAAGAAGTTTGCTATTCGTCCCTTCTTAAGGTTTATTTGATTTCTTTTTTTCTCCCCCGTAATGTGTGCGCGCTTGCAGGCCTGTTCAGAAAAACAGTGAACCAGTAAACTTCAGTAAACTGATCAGTAATGGTTACAGCAGTGACCAGATTCAGCAACATGGTGAAGGGGAGAAAAAGGGTCAGCAAACACCAAAAAATAACGGGCAAGCTGAAGGTATCGCATTTTGCAACTATTTTTGTTCTTAATTTATCAGTTATCTCAAGCTACCAGCCAGGATTATTCCTAGCAACTTGTATATATCTTGTTTTTAACATAATTAATATTAAACACAAAAATGATGTAGTTCTAGAGTCTCAGATTTTTATATTTCATTTCCGTTATATAACCTGTTTTTTTTCCCTTTAAGAGTTAGCAATATTTCTAAGTATTTTGCTAGCCCTTTGCAAGTAATCTCTAATGCCTCCCACTTGTGTGACTTCTCCATATACTTTAGGAGCATACAAACTTTTCAGGTTTACTGATACTTGAAGGGACTAAGGAATTGCCATATCTTAAATCTGAGTATTTAATACTTCTGTTTCAAAGATATTTATGTTTATTTTTGTTTATACAGCAAAAGCTGTGTTATCTGGCACTTTATGAACCGGAAAGCTCCACTAACCGACATCCGAGGGACGCGGCAAAAGTGAAACCAGAAGTCCCGTTTCTGGTTTCACCGCCGCGAGCAGAGTTCTTCTCCTTCATTTCCTCGGCCCACAACCCAGAGCAAAGCAGCCTGTGTGGGGCAAAGCAGACTGCGTGGGGCCCCACTCCCTGTCCCCCGGCACAGTGACGCCAGGGAGTGCACCAGATGGTGCATTTTTTATTAACCAGCATATTTGATTAACTGGCATCCCCCATTCCCATTGGATAACAGAGCTTTTGCTCTATATTTATTCATTTATATATCTAATGATGTTTATTTCATTTATGCATCTTAATTATTTTACATCATTAACTTTTATTAATAAATGTTTATGGGTTTTTTAATATTTGCCTTTATTCTTGTTCACATATATGTTATTCCTAACAGCCAAATCTAAAAATAAGTGTAGCATGGTCTCGATATTGCTACCAAGACTTAGTTCTTATGCTTTTACTATTACATTAATCTTAGTGTAGATCTGAAATACGTGCCCAGCCTGAGAAGCAACTCTTCAAACTCAGATGTATGCACCCCCTATGCTTATACATGCAGAACCCACAATTATCCTGTGAGAATTAAAGACCTCGTTAATCAACCAAGAAGCCTAAAGCGAACTTTTCCTAACAAGTTGCAAACAAATTGATGGTCAATCTTTCGATAACTTTTACTTTTGATTCTATCTTACATTTTGTGCATTAATATTTTTTTCCCAAAATTTTTGGGAGGTAATGCTAAGGATTTCAGGATTCTCGGACTTTCAAATTAATTGTTAAAGGCAGACTTCTGCGTGAGTCCAGCAGAGAGAACCTCAAGAAATAAAGGGCAAGTGCATAAACTGAATCAGATTAGAATATGCTTGCTCTTCTGTACTTTTAAAAAAATGTCATTTTGAATCTTAAATAAGGTAGCTTGACCCAACCATTTCTGACTCAAAGTACGTGCAGCTGAATATTGCTTCACAGTGATGCAAGAAATACAGGGTAATAGCTAATTGTGTTGATTTCCTTTTTTCAATGTTTAATTTTTTTTTTTTTATATAATTTCAAATAGAATTGAAAAATCAACCAAATGAGAGAGAGAAAGGAAGGACAGGCATAATATGAAAAAAGATGAACATTCTGTAAGTTTTATATAGTATCCTGAATTTTTTTTCTACATGTTGTTAGAATGAGATCATGCTTGCTTCTTATCTCATTATCGCCCTTGTATGCCCATCACATCTGCGCAGGTTCAGATATACTCTGTGCAAAGGAGAGGTGTCCACTAGTACTGCTAAAAGTGTTGACTAGCCCCAAATGTGTAGTTTAGCCTTATCCTCTTCACACTGGCTGGTCATGAACCCTTTCAAAGGCTTACTGCTTCCAGTCAGTACTATTGCAGGAGTACATCTTCTCCCCCTTCACAACAAGGCTCAGGTTTGGGAAGGCTATAATTCATAATTTCAGACATGACACCATCACCTATTATATCCATGCACATTTGCAATGTGCTCTTGGCAACGGCTACATCATGTTTAAATGGCAGCAGTCCTTCAAAAAACCTAACATAAAAAATTGAAGGGACTCTGTGAACATCTGTCACACTGACTAGTGTTGTGCAAGATGCCAGAAAATACTGAGATTTTGAAGTTCCATGGCATATCAGAGAGACCCCAGTTGACCCTAAACTAACTAGTCAGCTTGTTAGGTGTCATGTGTTCAATGAAGCAGAGAGAGACAATGAGCAAGAGGAGTTCTTATTTTCCCACTTTTAATGAGAGTTGATATTGTCTCCAGTCATGTCACCCACTTCTTAATTCACATTACACAGTTATTGTCATCAAAAATATTAATCTGAATATCAAACATGGAAAGAAACATTTAAAAGAGCATAGGATGTGGGGATCCCTTGATTGCTATAAATTATATCTCCCACATGAAATATAACCTTTTTAAAATTTTCCAAGATTAATTAGAAAGGGAAACCAAGCTGTTGTATGCACAGTATGATTCATATACATATTGCTTTTCAGTTTGGTATTCCATACAATAATCAATATGGAAATGATATAAGGTACCATGGTTAGGATTATAAATTGTACTTTTGCATTTTGTATTTGCTCTTTCTCTCTTTGTTTCCTTTTTCTGTCCATCATTCCCTCCTTTACCACACTCCTTACTATCTTACATCATTATTTGTTATCTTGTGCCCAACCTCTTTGTTGGTTAACTGCAGTTAGCAGCAGTAGTGATCCCACTCAACTTTGTATATAGGAGAGTCAAGCGTTACAAAGATAGAGCTCTGCAATTAATGCAGAGAAAAGTGACTTCTGCTAACGAATTGAAAATTTACATTTGAATGAAATGACACATCTTGTCCTTTCTTTAACAATATGAAAGGCTTCAGGTACAGCACATCAGATGTGATTCTGAGGCAATATCACAATTTGAGAAGCCCAGATAGGGAGTATATATGCCTAGAAGAAACAAAAGTTCACTTCTGCTGGGGTTCTGTGTGTTCTTTTATGGTCAGTCTTGGTAAAATTGGGCTAGAATGATTAATTTACTGCTACATCTCTCCACTAGCCATTGACTTCAGTGAATTTCTGCATAGGTACTGGGGGCAGTCCACACTGACCAGTCCAACCGGCTTAATGAGGGTCTTATTCTCCATGTGCTACTCACTTAACATGAGCTTTATTTGCTAGTACTTTAACAGCTATCTACCATGCTAAATACAAGTAACAAGCAAAAGAAGCATTACAAAGCATGTGTGCTTGGCTTGTGCACTGCAGACTTTATATGAAGTATTGTCTTTCCTCCTGGTCAGCTACTAGAATTGAAGTTTGTGACTACTTTTTGATTTTGGGAAACTGAAATGTTATAGCATTTGGCCATACCTTTTTAAAATGACAGAAGTTGTCACTTGTGCTCTCATCTTTTGAATTGCAGATTCAGACACATTCCAGCCCGAATCAACTCCCACGCAGGACAAGTGAAAGTTGCACCTTCAGGGATGTAATAAATATGAACACTTAGAGAGCATCAAGAAGAGTAAAGCTTGAGATGGCTTATGAAACAAGTGTCTATATTTATAAGCTAATGTTTGTTTCGTTGCAGGTATCTAACCATTGTAGCAAAATTTATCCCTTGTGTTTAGCTTATAGGTTTATACCACAGATGCATTTGGTTTGGCACTTCACTTCAGCAAATGTTAAAGTGCATAGGTCATAGCTACCTCAGTTATATTTAAGTCTGGTTTAATGTAGATTTAGCATACGACATTGAAGATTTTATCATCAAATGTACCACTAGACTAGTACTGCTTTGTTGCCATTGTTTTAACTTGCTGAAAGGACTTGGTTGCACGCAAATACCATTCCAATATAATTCAAGAAATACAACCCCTTAATGTGTACACGGTTATACTGGTATAGCATATTCCCATAACGGATGATGCTTGGTAGCTATGCTGTACAGGTATAACAATGTTTACATTAGGGATTGTTCTGTGTAGCTATTTAAGGGAGGTGGGGGGACACATTCCTTACTGAAAAGCTACACTATTAAAAAAAACCGTGCTTGGACCAGATGTAGGACTTTTTTTTAAGAGTCCTGCAAAACTATACCTGCTGTATAAGAACTTGCTGATCAGTAGCACTTTTGTAGGGAGAAGACTTAATCAGCAAATTCTTTAGAAAACTAAATCAT